ATTCATGCACAAACACGTCGACACGCTCTCACGAAACACACATGCTATTACAGAAGAAGAAGAAATATTTTATTAATGACTTAAACATATTTATTTCCAATGAAAGGAACCGGATTAGTAAACAAGGATAAGCGTATATGAATACCGCTCCGGGATACAATGGAAGGAAGAGTAAACATGTCATGATGAATGTGCAATGTGAATAACAGATAAATGTTGCAAAAACGAGAAATAACGCCAATCATTGTTAAACAGTTTATGTCATATAAACAAAAGATTTAAAAGACAATTCTACATGGAAATAGTGAAATATCTGATCTCGATAACTTAGCCATCTTACAATCTGTTTACATCTTCATCACTTTCTTGTAGATTTGATACCACATATGTTTAAAGAATTGTTAGCTTTAAGACATATATCATGAAATTGCTTTCGAATTATTAATTATCATTTGATTGTACATTAACCTTATGGTTTGTCATACGATTGTCTTATATGATAATTTTGGTTTATTTACCTTTGCAAATTGATTTGGAGCACCATTAATATAAGCCTCTAGCTCGTTTGCCAATCCTTTCTTATTTCACGAATAATATGTTCAAACCAGTCATACCAAAAACCACATTAAAATTTTCGTTTACCAAATTTCGTCGATATAGACATGACAAGTTTTTGTAGCTATGAACACAGCTTATCTATTGAGGAGAAGCAGGTAACTTTATTTGATAGGAAAGGTTTAACCCCAATTAATAATGTAGGTGAAGATGAATAATCTTCAGTATGTTAACAGGCGACATCCACAATGAAAACACCTGATCAGCTTATAATTACACTACAAGATATTGAAAAGGCACCTGTGTGTGGACGTCAAAAGATTAACTGCCACAAACTGGTGATAACATTTAACTGTCACGTCAAGTACTGTCACTCCTGACTGGTGGCAATGGCTATGTCAACACCGATATGTGCATGCTCTGGCTCGTGATTGGCTTGAAGGGAAAACAATTTTAAACCTTGCGTTATTGTGAATAATTAACTAACTTCATTATGAAAAATATCAATGAAACAATATGAATTTTATTACACAAAACGTTATTTCTTAATTTATCTGAACCCTGGCCAATTTCAAACCAATACATATTTTTAACAGGTGTCTTTACTGACAAAGTACAATATAACATATGTGACAGCTTTCTAAAGGTTTCAGTTTTACACATCAAAATATTTGGTTACGTTTCACGCTTTTGTCCATCTTTTGCAATACAATATGGTCTTATTATTTTAAATCATTATGGAGTGGTCCATGATTTTATCATCAAGACACAGCGCTTTGGATTTTCGCAGAAACATAATTAAATTATCTCAACAACAATCTTCATATGATTGCTATATTTGTTTACAAATGCTTGTTAGACACACGAAACCGTCACTCTCTATTTATGTTTACTTAGAGAATAGTTGTATTTGATAATAGTCAGTATCGATGACGTTGCATGGGAGTTGAGTTGAAATTGGGTTTTACGTCGTGCTTGAGAATATGTCGCTCATATGACGACATGCATGCGTGTGTATGTGTATGTGCGGCTGCTTGTACTAGCCCAGACTTAAGCTGGTTTTATAGTGCTAGCCCACTGAGATACCATGCCGCAGTGAAGCAGGAATACCCCACTCAGACACATTATACTGACTCCGAGCCGACCAGTCCTTGTACCCATTAATGCCGAGCGCCAGGCAGGGACCAAAGTACCATATTTAACGTCTTTTGGCATGACGCGGTCGGGATCGAACCCGCGACCTTCCGCTCTCCGGGCGGACGCTCTAACCACTACACCACGGAGGCGGTCACGTTGCATGGGAGCTGTGTTAACATTTCCTGTAAAGCTCGTTCACCAATCCCAATTCATTTACATGACTAAAAATATGTTTAAACCATAAGTTTCATCGCTTGTTATCTTACTCGCACGTCGAGAAATAGACAGTTTCTTTGTTTGTTAGGTGATAGGTGCACAAATCTATACAAAACTAAATTGATAAATTATTAATGATGTTCAATACGCAGGTTGCTTGCTTTCTTATCATGCTGCATATTATTTAATATTTGTTGTATTCATGCATTAATGTAATGGATAGGTATTCAAATAAGCCATTACGGCTTGTGTCCCGATCCTTGTTCAATTTATTTTGAATAAAAAATGTTTACACTACAGAAAACTAAACAGTCATCAGCTATGTGTGTGACAATTTTACCAAAATTTGTTAAAGACGATCTTCCAGAACAGTGAGTGAGTGAGCAATATTCCAGCTATGTGGCGGCGGTCTGTAAATAATCGAGTCTGGACCAGACAAGCCAGTGATCAACATCATGAGCATCGATCTAAGCAATTTGGATACGATGTGGTTGGGGTGGTTGGTGTTTTTTTAGTAGTGTGCAAGGGTAAGTTGGGTTTTCAGGGTATACATTTCTACAGCGGTGTGGAAAATTGAGGTGAGAAGATATTTAAACACTTTTAACATGTTGGAATGAAAATTCAGCGGACGGGATGTGGGAAACTTACTCACTCACTCACTTATTATTTTATGTACGTGTAAAACGCACACTATGCATGCACGTCGCTGGTGGTGGTCTGGTGTAATAAAAATCCGTTCATCATTCTACATTCAGTAGGACCCGTAATTCTATATTTCCAGTGTTTGGGATTGACAAGAGTGGAGCCACAAGTTAAAATACACTTTTATTTACAAAAAAAAAGACATTCACGGTAATCACTTTTCAAGCAAGGAAGGTTCTTGAGACATAATTGTTCCCATAATTTTGCTAATGTACATTTTTAGGTGAGCATTTTGATACTGGAGACGTTTTATGGTTCGAATCATGTCTCTGATGTCAGGGCTCCCTGTTTGCTTCTTTGTGTCAGCAGCCTTGAATGACCTCGTTTTGGTTTCAGGGGTCTGTTGGGTGTCCTCATCTAGTTCCTGGTCTGCTTGGTCACCTCTGGTTTGAGGGATCTGTTGGACGTTCTCATCCTCTGGTTCCTCCAGGTCTCTGGCAGCGGAAACATCACCCACAGTCAGGAACATACTTCTAGTCGTGGTAGTGATCATCTGCGGTAAGGCATCTACTGATCGCCATTTTCCTAATTTGGAAACGACATTTTCATCAACGCTGACATCTGTTTCACAAACTTTTGAGATGTCGTCAACACTTAGGAACATACGTCTTCTTTTCGTCGTTGTACATGGCAACGATTCCATTGATGGAGGTCGTTTGGCACAAAAAGCAAGGTCTGGTGTCATCCGTTCAAAGGTGGTTTGATTATTCTTCACCAGTTCCATCTGAAGACGCCTGTTCTCACCTGCCAGTCTTTCAAGAATGATTCTCTGTTCCTCAAAGTCAAAATCTCGTTCTTCACAGGGAACGTCGTATTCGGCGAATGTTCCCCATGCGCTGTCGTGGACGTCTGTATCATTCGAGTTATCAGAGTGAACAGACGACACTTCACCACTGAAATTCATACCTCTTGTTGGACGTGCTTCAACTGGGGACGAAGTTCTTTGTCGATCCTGGCATCCTAATCGTTTTCTTGACGACTTTTTATCAAGTTTCTTGCTTTGTGGTCGGACACAGAATAAAATTACTTTTAAAATTATAATGAGAACCATTTTTACACAGTTAAACACAGCTCCAACCATGATATTTTAAATTTTATAGACCAGTCTTGGAAATATATGGATAGGAAAGATGGTATGTGGAGTGATGCAATTGCAGACCAAATGCATGTTTTATATCTATTGCTGAAATAAACCTTCTGAGGAGATGTCACACTGAAGTTAATCGTGTCACAAGACTATCATGTCTAACCTCAATGTTCACCATTAATTATCACATGATCGCCTTAAACATTCTGGCTTGTGTTCTGATACCCCAAAGTAAAGAATAGGACCAGTCTCTTGTCATCACAACCGTTAGTAGTATACATTTTACTGACATGTGAGGTTTATCAAATATTCCCTTAACGAACCCGCTTATCCACTCCGGACAACAAAAACAGAGCCGAAATCACCAGCGTCCAGTGAGATGGACACTGCTTAATCTCAATCAGCAGATAACGTAATCTGGATTCACGTGTTACACCTGTAATCAAAACATCTTCACGTGTGTCATCAGGTGATTCGAAAAGGTTAAGGAATTAACAAGCGCCTTGATCTATCTGTTGATTACAAGAAACTGTCATGGCGGCTGCTGATTGAGTTTGTTTACAAAGGTGATTGGTGGCAATAGCTGAGTCTACTCTGGGCGGTGTCACCTGCTAACTGCTGATTGGCTGAACGTTGTCGTCTGCCATATAAACTCCTACTCCTACTCGGTAGTCACTATTCAACTTTTTTACAACATCTACATCGACTGTTGACGTTTGCTCGAGGAACTCAAGAACAAGAGATGCAAGTAAGTGGATTAGTTTCTTGGAAAACTGATGAGGAAAGATACTTTCAAGAATTGACCCTAAAGATATGCTTTAAAAATAACGAAAAAATAAGAAACACTATTCAGTATGAATTTAAAAGGAGTTATGTGAAAATGTGGGGAACTTCATGTAACAATAATTGTATTGAAATCTGTAAACGTTCGTTGAAGTAAACCAGTATCATCGATCAACGTTCTAACGTCTTTGAATCTTTTGAAAAAATGTCAATAAATGTAAATAATTGTTTAAATTCATTAGGTAATGAAGACAGGGTCGATTGCGAATCGTTCAATTTTTCAGTAACCTGAAGTAAGGTTACTTTCAACTGATACCACTGATAAATTTACTCATGGTTATTTCGTGTATTTCTATCAGACTATAGATCAGTATATGGTCTCTTGTTTTTATTTGTCTTTCAGTCTCACACTGTCCCAATGTAAAACATTTGTTTTGTTGTTGTATAGATGGCGCCTTTCGCCCATTGTCATTAAACTAATTATGTTTTATTTTATTGATAGCCTGCTCCACTGTCAGAGATGTATCAGGACGGTTTGAAAACCGAAAACACCCCAAAACGGACTTCCGCTATAGTCCAGCCCATGCTGAGACGTCTTGTGAACATGAACTCAATGCGCCAAACAGCAGACGACAGCGAGGGCTCAGATTCCGCCATCACCCCCGAGTCGTCCCCGGAACAATATCCCCCGACTGGTCACCTGCATCGGTCACCCACCCGCATTGACCTACCACCCAGACGGAAAACAGCTTTCAGTGTTAATGATCTCTTGGGAAAGTCCGGACCAATGAAACCGGAAGTCCACCCGTCCACCCCAGTGTTTCCTGGACCAGTGTATATGCCTAAGATGTCCCCCTACCCTACATACCCGAGTGTCCATGTGTTTCCAAATAGAGCCACTGATGAGAGAAAATATCAAGGTAAGAGTTTCGATTAAAGTTTTGTGTGTTTTTTAAGTGACATCATAATGGGGAACACAAGACATGGGCTCCATACGCTCTACCCAGGTTGGGAGTCTAACCCGGGTATCCGGAGTGACGAGGAAAGGCTTTAAGTAGGATATCCCATTGCCAATATTCCGAGAAACAGGAATAATTTCTATATTTCATAACAGAATAATAACATTTGTTTATAAACAAATTAAAAATCGTATGATTTGTTTGAAAAATATTCATGAAAAGGTTTCATAAAGTATACATTGTTACTCTGCTGATAACATCCACGTTTTTTAAAACATCTCCCTGGAACAAATCTAATAATGACTGTGAAGATACCTAGTTGAATTTGTTCATGAAACGGAACGCGTGGTTATAAAGCGTTAAGCGGATGTATCTAAAGACACCGGGTGCTTATTAATTATAACACATGGTAACTTCTCATCCAGACACCACAGTATTGTGTAAGAAGGAAGATGCGTTTTCCGTAGACGACCCGCCAAAGAGGATCCCGTCTCCAGCACGTCCACGACGTAGCCTGACGTCCTCCCCGGAGTCTCCCATCTCCGACAGCTCCATCTCCGAGTCCAACAGCTCCACGGATCGCGAAACGAGTCCCCACCCATACAAGACCGTCACGGACAAGAAGAGCAACCGCACCAACTACACACCCATGCAGGTGCGACAGCTGGAGAAGATCTTCCTCGAGACTCCCTACCCGGAACATGAAGTATACGAACAGTTATCCAAGGATTTGTCCATCCCGGAACCCAGACTGAAGGTAAGGATCCTTATTCATTGCTTCATGTTTTACAGAATAGTTCCTTAGCATACCATCGATGCTGGTGCCCATGTTCCTTAGCATTACATCGATTCTGGTGCCCATCAGATGTAGGCGTCGTAATTTTCAATGACAATTTGTTTTTATTTCATGCGATCTTTTTGGTTCAAATTCGGTATAGCCAGCCAACTTTACAAAACAACAACAAAAAGATAATATTGTTTCTATATCAGCGTAAACGCCGTAGCTGGCCCAGTCGTCTCTGCAATTCGATATCAGAGTTGTGTCCCTTGGGTGCGCCAGGAACATGGGTGTCCATGTTTGTCAGTACTATACCCGTGCTCGTGGGTTTCAAACGTCTGAGACATGCATCACCATGGCTACCCCCTGCATTTAGCTGACACTCTGCGATATGACAGGAATACTTATAAAACCAGCATTAAATCCACTCCAGCATGAGCAATGGTATATAATGTTCCACTATCTCGCAAGATGTCTATTTCTAAACCTTACACTGATAGCAGAGCTTCCAACTCCAAGAGAGAAAACACCTTGACATGCCATGGGGCACATAGAAAAGTCTCTGAAAACGATGTGTTCAATCTCATTTGTGTGATTTTTAACGGATTTTAATTTTAATTGTTCATACTAACCCAGTTTGTTGTGAGATTTATCAGTTGTGTCGTGAGAGCATGAGAAATACATGCGTGAGTCTCAAGCCAAATGCGTGAGGGTTGTCAAGTATGAGATTGTAAAATGTTTCCGACATTTTATCATTTTTATTTTGTGTTACTTTCAGGTCTGGTTCCAGAACAAACGCGCACGATGCAAGCGTCGAGCGGAGGACAAGATCGCGTATAATCCTCCCTACCCCTTCCCCGTGATGCCCATGGGGTTCCCGTACGGAATGATGACAGGAGCCTTGGGATCTCCCGCTGAATCAACCCATCAAGCCTTACCCAAGTCGATGTTCCCCTACGCCGCGTCCCCGTCCCCCTTAATGATGTACCCAGGGACCGGGTACCCCCCACACCTGTATCCCTACCTCCACCCCCAGATGTACGTTCAGCAGTGAATGAAGGCGAATGTCATCTTAAAGTGCTTACATCATTGACGCTGTAAAGTAGTCCTGTGAATAGTGATGTTGTCTATATACTAGAGACTGATGTACATATTTGCTAAGGCACCAGAAAGGATGGAAATGGTATCGTCAGCCACTACGGAATGAACATCAATTTCGCTGGAAGTGGGAATCTTACGATAGAAGGGGATACTGTGTGAATTCTGATGTCATTTCACCAATTGTATGTATCTGTACATATATTTATTTATGTTTACGCGATTAAAATCGTAATGACAAAATGTACTTATGTTTTAAGTGCAACCAATGGATCTAACGTATGCTATATTTGGGATTACACTTTCTCAGTAAAGTGTAGATTCTTGTACCTTTGGATGAATCCCATCTGGGATTTAAACCACCTTATCGCCAGTACACAAATTGTAATCCCAAATATAACATATGACAACATTCTAAAGGCATTGTGTAATCACAACGGGTGGCTTTTGGGAACAAAATGTATCTGGGTGTGGTTGTACAAACGGTCGCGTACCGATCCGTCGAATTTCTGATTTCAAAGTAGTAAAATGCATTCGACGGATGAGCACTGTGATCTTAGCTATTAATTAGTTATCAAAACATTGGATCATACCAAAAAAAATGACACAAGGGGTGTTGATGGTTTGACTCTCTTTATTTTTGTACTTTTGTACCTATCTTTGCCTACTCATATGCGCAGAATTTTTATTTTTTGTGTTTCTGATCGCCCGACCGACCCTAATTATATTGCCGACCAAAAATAAAAAAAACAACACCGCCGACTAGAACCTAGAACGTACCGACTCGTCATAAAAAATGTTACCACACAAAAAAAAAGTTATGACCCTTGACAACAGACCGACCATGATGTCTGCTACTCGCATAGCAAACATCTGGTCTATTTTGCAATTGAAGTATCACCTTAAGTGGGAGTAGTGTCATCTTAATTTGATAACCTGTTAACATTTATGAACTCTATAAACTCATTCAAGCACAATATTTTTGCGTTAGATATAGAGATTACTAAATGAGTGTCTGTCAGATACCATTTATCTTACGAGTTGTTTCAAAACGTACTTTACGAGCGAAAGCGATTTAAATACGTTTTGAAACAACGAGTTGTAAGATAATTGGTATCTGACAGACACGAGTACAGTAATCTGTTTCTGACACACCATACAAGCCGACCCCTTAATTAATGAACTTAGACTCTCCCAATTCTTTATTCTCATAAACCACCTTGGTGGTACAACAGCATATATTGTAAACATATCTACAAATACAAATTCAAATTCAAGATGGCAGTAAACAACATATTAACATTTTTTTTCTGACAAGAGATGATAGATGTAGGATATATTTTGATAGATTTACTATGTCTCGAGATGTTTTTACAGATAATATTTTCGTGAACTTTGTTTCATTGGGAAAAGAGGTTAGGTGGGAGGGTAAATACTCTTTCCTCAAAGTATCTAATGCTTTGCAATGAAAAATATAGTGGTATTCATCTGCGATGCTTTTAGAAGTGCATAGTTGACACGTTCTCTCGTCCCTTGGAATATTATACCAGCGGCCCGTCTCAATAGGTAAAACTATGGTTACATGTTCTAAATCTCAATAATGGTAAAGAAATCCGTTTTGGGAGGAGGAGATATACATCAAAATTGGGAAATGGCTTTAGGTGCTGATAGTGTATACCCTTGGGACTAGAAATAATGTCATTGTGCCAGTTTTGGATAAATTGATCTTTAAGAATATGTTCAACTTTTGAGACCAGCCACTGGGTGGTACAAATTGAGGGATTTTCAAAAACATACGAGAGTCCAGTATTGTCTTATATATTTTTAACGTGCGAGAGCCAGGGATTATCTTTTTTATCTATTGATCTTTGAAGGGATAAATACTTGTAAATTAAGTTCGTAAGCTTAAAAACACCTTCTTGGTAAGTTAACTTGTGCCAAAAGTTAAATAAACGTTTATAAATCATGATTCTAATTGGGAATCTTCCTAGTTCCCCACACAGCATGAAACGAGGGGTTGAATTTCTTAATCCTGTAATGAGTCTTAAGAATTTTAAATGAATTTTCTCCAAAATTTCAAGGTTTTCGAAAGACCAGACTTCTGCACCATAGGTCAAATGCTAACAATAAACAGTCTAAAGGCAAGTCCCAGTGTGTTAACACGGTCTGAAATTCGATTGATGAACCCAGAACCACTCAAGCATGATTCGACGGATCGGCACTGCTGACTGTTCCAAATTCGACGTATTAGGCCGTAACCGTACAAACAGCCTTAGCGCTAAATTACCTTACCTCTGTAAGTCTTAACCTTAGGCCTTTGCTAAAGTTGACGTCTTGTTGTACGAATATAAGGTAGCCATAGTTCAAGGCTAGTCCGACCCGACCCTACAGCGAACACCATATCACATCTAATTCCTGTTGTGTTTCATTTAATGAAGCAATAGATTATACTAACAAAGAACCGTTCAGTGGGAATCATATTCACGCACAATGGCAAGTAAATCATGTCAACCAATGCTGCAGCTGATAGATATATCACACAGTCAAATTTGTAAATTTCTTTTACTCTTGTCGACTCGTCCGAACACCCTTGTCGGGTTATTCTGAACACCCTTGTCGGGTTATTCTGAACAGTCATGTCGGGCTATTCCAACCAAACGGTGTGCCTTAATAGAGCAGCATTTATATTTTCTGTGTTTCCCATCGCCCGACCGATCCTTCTAATTTTATTGCCGACCCACCGAAAAAAACATTTTTTTTCGTTCCAACACGCCGAAACATATAATACTCAATGAAACGCTGATCATAATAAAAAAGGATCATAATAAAAAAATCAGACCAACTCTGTGATTTGTTTGCAGAATTTATGTCCTAAAATTAAAAAAGTTGTTTAACAAACTATCATTAAAATTTTGACACAGTTCACTATTTGTAACGAAGGAGGAGTGCAGAGAAAGGGACAGACAGGTGTTAGGGAGGCACGTGCTTAAGTGCCGACAAAGTTATTGATTCATTAACATGTGCTGTGCCGTCTCCATCCTTTCTCGCACACCTGGCAGTCCCAACTGTGATTTGAACGGCCACTAACATTCTGCTCAGGATAACCCTGATAGTCGAGTGCTTTTAAAATCCTGTATAAAAAGCAGCAAACATGATAAAAAAATTGTACTTTTTCAGTATTTTGTGAAATATAACCATAAATGCAAATTTAATTTGCATTGAAAATAGATACGTTTTAAGATTATTCTTACAAGAATAAATGATAAATATATTTCATGATTTACTATTACATCACGGACGAAAAATTGATTGACTTCTCGTCATTTGTTTGATGACAAATTTGTCCACTTATCGAAACATACATTTGGTGTGAAATTATTAGCATTCTAAGTAATATTTATCGATTGATGTAAGGCAAGCGTTTTCACCATTCGTTTATTTGGGTTTAAAAGATTTGCAGCACTTTCCTAATATCGCCCATGTTCTGCACAAATTGCAGATCTGCAGTACTTATGGGGTCGATCACAAAACTGACATGTATGTATGAGGGGTGGGGGAGTTATTATTCATGTAATTACTTATTTCAACATGGACATAATGATACACGGGCTGTTGTAGTTTAAACATATCTGATTCGCGGTCTAATAGGACCATGCAAACACGATTATGTTACATGTATGTTACATTTCCTCCATGTTAGACCGCCTCCGTGGTGTAGTGGTTAGAGCGTCCGCCCGGAGAGCGGAAAGTCGCGGGTTCGATCCCCGACCGCGTCATACCAAAAGACGTTAAAATATGGTACTTGTTGGTCCCTGCCTGGCGCTCAGCATTAATGGGTACAACAAGGACTGGTCGGCTTGGAATCAGTATAATGTGTCTGAGTGGGGTATTCATGCTTCACTGCGGCATGGTATCTCAGTGGGCTAGCACTATAAAACCAGCTTAAGTCTGGCCTAGTACAAGCAGCCGCACATACACATACACACGCATGCACGTCGTCATATGAGCGAAATATTCTCAAGCACGACGTAAAACCCAATTTCACCTCACCTCACCTCATCCATGTTATATGTATGTTACATTTCATCCATGTTACATGTATGTTACATTTGACCACTTTCTAAATGGCATTGTGTAATCATGACTAGCACCCACTATGTATGAAATTTGAGTAATTAAATAACATAATCGTATCTATAGTTTGGCATGAAATGCATGTGGACCCGTTTTTTTGTAAACTGCTTGCAGAGGGAGGGAGCCAATGACCTGTAACAGCGGCAGTGTTGGGTCATAAAGGTCAACGTTCGTCGATGTAGGTCAGCTATGCACGTGACAGGTATAAAGAGGTGTTCATTTCTAGCAAATAGCCGGCGAATGACATCTCTGATGACCCTGATGTCAAAAGAATCTAACTTTGGATGCCTACCTTTTTGTACAAGGTTTTGTTTATTGGTTGTTGGTTTATTTTTCACAATTTTTAGCACGATGTTCTTTTTTCATGCCAAGAGCAACAGTTGTACGTTTCATGTAATCCGACACCTTATAAATCGGTTTGCTACGTTTGCTCTCTTTTTAAAAAAAATTCAACACATTTCTAATTAAACGTTTAGCATCACCTGAATAATCTTTCATGATGAAAGCTAGAAGTAGTCAATGTGAATGATCCAAACGGTCTATCACTGTGCAGTGCACAGGTAACTATCATGAACTGCACGTGCATTTACCTTTATGACCCAACACTGCCGCTGTTACAGGTCATTGGCTCCCTCCCTCTGCAAGCAGTCTGCGGTCTGCTGTTTATTTTGTTGACAGTTACATAGACAGATTCTTTAATACAAATGCATAAAATCGGTGATTTACAATGTGATTAGGTTGTCTGACAAAACATCCACTTGCACAGTTTGAGATCGATTGGGTCATTGGATGAAGAGATATTTACACAAAAAACGGGTCCAC